TTGAGGAAAGTGAGAACTGACTGATGGAATAGTGTGTCCAAGGCTGTACAGCTAAGCAGAGGGAGCTGCACTGAGAGTAGGCAGTTTTGATCCCCACTCCCTGATTTTATCCAACACTGTGCATTTAATTAACAAAAGTGCTGTTTTGAAGCTGGATTGAAATGGTTTTGGGCATTAAAAATTCTCAAAGTATATGTTCCGCCAGTTTTACTGAGATGTAATTGATATATAGCATTGTATTAGTTTGAGGCGTACATAACATAATAATTTATGTGTTTATATTGCAAACTGGCTACCTCGTATGGTTACAATTCTTTTCTTGTGATGAGAACTTATAAGATCTATTCTTTTAGCCTCTTTCAAATACACAATATACTATTAACAATAGTTAATGTTACAGTTATTCTTAACTATAGTCACAATGTTTATAAATTACATCTTCAGAACTTATTAATGTTACAACTGGAAGTTTGTACCTTTGGCCACCCTCACTCATTTCCCAACCCCTTCTCCCCATGACAACTTGTTCCTGGCAACCATCAACCTGTTGTCTATATCTATGAGTTCAGTGTTTTGTTTTTCTGATTCCATGTATAAGTGAGATATATGGTATTTTTCTTTCTCTGGATGACTTCTTTCACTTGGCCCTGGAGGAGTAGGTCTTAGGTGAATATCCCCTCTCAACCATACTACCATGGTCCTTGACCATGTGGATCATAGTTCTGCATCTTTGAACTATGGGCCATAGTCTCAGGTTGTTGTGAAGTTTAAAGGAGGTGATGCATGACAGCTTCAAGTTTGAGGTATTGAGCATAGTAAGCGCTCAATGACTTCTGCAGCTCTGGTTGTTGCTGGATTTAATATTACTGCTGTCCCATAAAGTGAGGCTTGGTGAGGTGAAATGAGTCCAGGAACACACAGCTACTAAGTGGTAAAAGGCACTCCTTCCAACACTGGAAACACAGAGTGCAAGGAGAATTAGATGGAATGACCCTTCAGGTTTCTTCCAGTTTCTTCTATAGGAAACTCCAAAAAGAAAAAAATTTCATTCCATTCCACTAAATTTGACATATTGGTAACTGCTTCTGCCCTGAACAGCTCTTACAATGAAACTTGCTTCTTTGTTTCATTATGTGAACACAAGTTGGTGTTAATAGGAGGGCTTGTTGAGGAGGTGCCAGTGGAACTCTCCATAGCAAAATAAGCATCCACCTATTTCTTTAATTATTGACTTCCTTAAATGATGTTTAGTTGATCTTCAAAGCAGTGTGGATGAGGTGGCAGCTGTTTATGCCCTAGTGGGAGAAACCTTCACAGGTGACACCCTTAGGAACCAGAGCAGTGGAGCTCACACTTGCTTTTGGGGCTGGTGTCCAGTGGAGCACATACAAGTAAACAACAAAAATGCATTTTGAGGAAGCTGTCTCACAAAAAAAAAAAAAAGGATGAAGAATAGATGGAGCCAAAGCTTATTGGAATAAAAGAACCACATGTTGACAGAATGCTTTGATTTTTTTTATTTTGATAGTGTGGTTAGAATGGCAACCATTGTATTAATCTGGTCCTTGGAAGTAATGAACTTTTGTTTTGAAGTGAGTTTGTTTCTTACCTCAACAAAGCAAGACTTCTCAATATATTTCAATGCTACGATTAATTGGATTCCCATTTGATGGTGCCTGAGTGAAAGAAAATGTGTCCCTAATGGGAGGGTAAGCACTGCAGCCTCAAGTGAAATACTTACTGCATAAACTTCTGTGACAGTTTTGTCTTATTTTTGTCCTTTATTCTTTCTTCCCCCTTCCCCTCCCTCCTTCCTCTCCCCCCTTCCCTTCCCTCCCTCCTTCCCTCCATCTCCTTCCTTCCTTTCTCCCTTCCTTCCTCCCTCCTCCCCTCCCTCTCTTTCCTTCCTTTCTCTCTTCCTTCCTTCCTCCGTCTCTCTCTCTTTCCTCCCTCCCTCCCTCCCTCCCTTCCTTCCTTCCTTATCCTAGGATATTGCCTCCATCTCTTCCAAACAAAAAAGCAGAAGAAAAAGTAGGATAAATATTTACCAGCTTTTTTTTGTGATCCTACAACAAAGAAGTTGTAGCAGATACAGTTCAGCAAGGTTTATTGCCTGGCACTGTGTGTGTGCAGCTGTGCCATGTTACATTTAAACTTAATTTTACATGGGGCAGGTATGGCTTTCCCTCTCACTATAAATCATCTAGCTATACTATGAGGTTGAATTCTAAGAGCCATACTAGAAAAAATGTCTCATCACTCTTCACTTCTAAAATATATTCTCCGGGGCGCCTGGGTAGCTCAGTTGGTTAAGTTTCCGACCTCGGCTCAAGTCATGATCTCATCATTCATGGGTTCGAGCCCCACGTCAGGCTCTGTGCTGACAGATAGCTCAGAGCCTGGAGCCTGTCTTTGGATTCTGTGTCTCCCTCTTTCTCTGACCCTCCCCTGCTCATGCTGTGTGTCTGTCTGTCTGTCTCTCTCTCTGTCTCTGTCTCTGTCTCTCTCTCTCAGAAATAAATTTTTAAAAAAAACATTTAAAAAATAAAATATATTCTCCGTTTTTGGAATTTTACATGAAATAAAATGAAGAAATCACACATTTTTTCCCATAAAGTAGTGTGTTAATCAAGTGTTTAGGATTTTTGACAAATGTCAGGTACTTCATAAATGGCATCTTTTCTTTAGCTCAAGAAACATCCCTAAGCACAATATAAACAGACCCTTCCTTCAAAGATCTTGCATTCTGGTATGGGAAAGAAAAGAGTAGGCCCTTTTACCTTCTAGAGGAGGGGCTCAGAAGAGTCTTTCTCTAAGAGTCCAGATGGTAAATGCTTTAGATCTTGTGGACTGTAGCGTCTCTGTTGCCATGGCTCACCTGTGCCCTCATAGTGAAAACAACCATGAAACACATATGAATGGTGGACATGGCTGTGTCCAAGGAAACTTTATTTACACAAACATCCTTCAGGTAGACTTGACCTGAGAGCCCTAGTGTGCTACCCCTGAGTTATGTTCATCACTCCCCACAAAAATCTTTACTTAGGGCTTTGAGATTTACTTCATTTTAAATTTTTTATTGATGTTGCTTATATTCCCTATCCCTTTTAGCTATTTCTAACTTTTTAGCTCATCCATAGTTTATGAAACATAAAGTACAGCATCTCCCACAATCTGTATAGATACCCAGCCATCTCTACACATCTCCCTTAGAATAATCCCCACTAATCTAAACAAATATAAAGTGGAGAGGGGAAGTAGAGCACAATGTCTTTAGCTTCTGTCAGCTTCTTGACTAACTAAATCTGCTTTGATTTCTAAAAAAGAGATTAAAAAGAATTTGTTCTCTTTTGAGTACCTGTTGGGTCTCTAGCAGTATGTTGTCTTTTAGACATGCAGCTGCTAGGCATGGCTACTATTGCTTAAATGTGGACAGGTCAAGAAGAGAGTTAGAAAAGCAAATACCCCAGAATGCCTGGGTGGCTCAGTCAGTTGAATGTCTGACTTCAGCTCAGGTCAAGATCTCACAGTTTGTGAGTTTGAGCCCCATGTTGGGCTCTGTGCTGACAGCTCGTAACCTGGAGCCTAGTTCACATTCTGTGTCTCCCTCTCTCTATCCCCCTCCCCTGCTCTCTCTCTCTCTCTTGCTCTCTCAAAATAAATAAACATTTTTTTAAAGATTAAAAAAATAGAAACAAATACCCAGGATATTTGTACGATAAAGCATCATAAAGTCAGTCAACAGAACTGAAGATAGGATGTCGCTGGATTACATGGAATGAGCATCCAACCAGCTAGTGTGTGTGTGTGTGTGTGTGTGTGTGTGTGTGTGTGTGTGAAAAATAAGGAGAGAAAAGGAAGAAGGAATACAGAGGGAAAGAAAGAGAACAATCATGCTGAACAACAAACATATGGTCACTAGCCTAAGGGCAGTGTACCATAGTCCATAGCATTTTTGAACACTAAGAAATGCTTCTTCTTGAGAGTTTTGGTCTATATAAATAAGTTAGAATATTTGAAGCCTGGAAACCTGGTTTAGGGCTAATTCTTAGGATGAAAAAAGGATCCTACAAACATTCATGGGCTTCACCATGTGCTAGGTTCCTTTCTAGGGGCTGGACGACTTGCCCACATTACCAGGGACTAACCAGTTCTGTGCAAGACAGACTCTCTCTGAGGACCACAGAAGCAAGTCCACAGGAGCCTTGCTAGGAAGGGGGTGGAGTTGAAGTGAATGTTGACAGGTAGCTAAAGCAGAAAAAAGGATCTCTTTTTTTTCCTCAGCCTCCAGAAATACCTATAATTCGTATTGAACTTTCCTCTCCTTGATTGCACACCACAGAGTTAGTGCCTATTTTGCCAATGGTAAGAGAAAATGAGGTTAGTAACAAGAGTATTCAGGAATACATTTTCTTGACATGGGAGACTTTTACATTTCTGGTTCCCATAGTGTTCAATGACGCATTGCCCTGTCTGTCTTCTCCCAGCCAAGTATTCTTCCCAGCTTTGGGCCACTTGCAGTTATTTGAATTAACTCTCTATCACATTCACACACCCATACACACAAATACAGGCACTAGTGCATGCTCAGTTTCAAACTCACAATCTAGATTGATTTAGAATTGTGCTGGCAGTGAATTACTAACTATGAGGGATACCTCTCTTATGTTTCCCTTGATAATAGTAAGTGCAATAGAGAATATTACTGACATTACTTGTTGTTAGAACATATAATAACAGTTGACCATGATTCAGCTTGAACATTTAAATATTGAAATCTTATAAGTCAAGTGCCAGCAGAGTAGAAGGAGTAGCATTCCCATAGCCCAGAAAGGAACACTCCCTGTAGGCTATGCAAATGCCCTCAGGGACATAAGGAGGAGGTATGGGGACAGTCCTGGTGTGGATATTTTGCTTGACAACATGGTTTGTCAAAGCACACCTGAAGGCCAAGTTCCAAGCAACATATTCCCTGTTTTCTTTTACCCTGGTCTCTCTAGATTTCTTAGAAAATCCACTATTGAAGTGTCTCCTTAAGAACCATGTTCCTGTTAGAAAGTAGAAATAAAAGGGTTGAAGAAATACCACAGGCCATCTCTGAGGCTGCTTGGAATATATTTTTGTTATTGTGGACGTCCGAGATAGAAAAAGACCTGGAAGGAAGGAAGCCAGTAAGGAATGCCAGGCCCAAACGTGCCTGTATCTGGACCATAGTCACGTGGGTCTCTTTTTGTCCACCAAGAGGACCAGATGTTGCATCCTTAATGTCATCACGGCTAACAGAAACTGACCATGTGCAGGTAGTGTTTTGTACATGCCATCATGCCTTGTCTTCCTTCAATCATCTCTTCACCAGGTGCAACAAAGAGCCTTCTACGGGATCCAAGAAAACACTCCATATGCCCTGAAGCACAGAAAGCCCCTGGCAAACATAAATATGCATTGTCCTCAAACTATAAGGATAGATTTAACTGTACCCTTTTGGCAGCCACGTTCTAAAATGTAATTTGCAATTTGGTGTTAAAGACAGTTCATCAAATGTAAGTTGTTGTGCGGTCCTTAAACAGAGGGCTGGTTGAGATACCCAAGAGGTCATCTGGCATGGCTGCAGTGCTGGCTACACTGCCAAGGACTCCTGACGGTGGAGCTCTCTGATGTTTTATGTCTGCTTGTTATCATTTCACCCTAATGTTTTGATGCCATCAGTGGTATTGTCTACTGTAGTTCTCTGTGTTTCTAATTAACATTTCTAAGTTTCCAGCAGCTTGAAACTCAGAAAAAAGTCTTAAAGTAAATCAGAACTTGAGGAGCTTGGGAAGAGATAGGAGCTCTTTTTCCTATCCCTCACTTTCAACTAGATATCATCTACATCCAAGTCAATAAACTGGAGAGTGATTCAAAGACTGCAAGAAAAACTCCACAACTAAATATAGAGAAGAAGCTACATCTGACCTTAGGAAGGTCGGAAAGGCATAGGGAGGCTACCCATAGGAGGAAGGGAGTCAGAGGAACAGAAGAGAGGGCATAGAAATGGGTCCTCACACCAGGGAGCTTGCATGGAAGACTAATCCCCATAATGTTTGGCTTTAAAACCAGAAGGACTGAAGTTTGTGAGTTTGTAAAACAGGTGGGACTTGGAACCTGATACTTTGGAGATCAGTTGACTTAGCACTAAAGGAGCCAGGATGGTGAGAGATAGCTGATTGCCACCTTTAAAGAGACAGCAGCCTTTGTGGGAAAGGCAATATAAAAATGACTACTTACAAAATGCTGTGAGCAAACAGGAGACAGATCTGTTCATACTGATTTCTGAGCATGTAGGGGGATGTCTTTGTGAACAAGGGAGCTACAGGCACCATTTTCCTCCTCTATCCCCCAAGATAAGAACAGAGACTCCTACTGGAGGTAGGGATGCACAGACACTTGCTACCTAACTCTCTACCAGTGTGCCAAGCCCACAAGTTCTCCTCAGGACTCCAAGTCTTCTGGTTTCAGTCCTGTGTTCAGGAAAAAAAATTGTTAAAACTTCGTTGGCACCCAGCTCCCAGGTGCACAGCTGCCGTCAAGCGCCACGTACCTCTGCCACACTTAGCTGTGTTCCCCTAGCTACTCTTAGCTTGCACCCCCAGATGCCAATGCATGCCGTGTGGAGCCTTGTTATTCTGCCCCTGCCCAGTCTGGTGATGATAGGCACTATCTCTCACCTTGTCGAACGATTCAACCTTGGCTGCTATCATGGGTTATGCACAGCTGCCATGTACACAGCCTAGGCTGAGTGGCTACCCTGCCACTACAATGGGCTAAAATTCCACACTGTACCCAGATGCACACTGCCAACCACCATCTGGTTTTGTGCCCAGCCTCATACTCCTGGCTGCCCTAGCACACAGCCCCTAGCCACGACAGAATTAAAGAGTATCCAGCATTTAAATAGTGGCCCAGTGCACATTTTTCTAACACTGCTGCCCTGCTCCCAAGATCCCTGGTGTGCATGCACAGCCAGAGTTGGCCTGCTGGTTCCCGTTAACACTACAGAGAGTGAGCACAACCCACAATAGGCAGAGAGTCAGTGCCGATGACTTCATGGAGGGGAAAAGTGGCTCAGACACAATACCAGGATGTAAGCAACACACAGGATGCTCTCCTGAAATATCACGTTCTGGTGCCGAGGGGACATTGCACTGCAGGGCACTCTAGAACTTCTTCATAAAATCACTATTTTTAAGAGAAGACACAGCTGACTTTTTAAACACAGGTAGACACAGAGAAGCAGACAAAATGAGGAAACAGAGAAATTTATCCCACGTGAAAAAAAAAAAAAAAAAAACAAGACAAGACCACAGCCAGAGATCTAAGCAATATGCAGAGTAACATCCCTGATCTAAAAATAATAATAATAAGTTTAAAGCAATGGCAATGAGACTCATTAGACTTGAGAAAAGAGTGGAAAACATGAGTGATATCCTTCCATAGAGGTAAGAAAAACGTTTTAGACATAAAGGGTACAATTAATTAAATAAGAAACATGCTTGATAGAATGAACAGCAGGCTTGAAAAAACAGGAATGAATTCATGACCTAGAAGACAAAGTAATAGAAAGTAATTAAGCTGAACAAAAGAGAGAGAAAAGAATGATGCAAAAGGTGAATAGATTTAGGGAACTAAGTGACTCCACTGAATGTAACATTTGTATTGTAGGAGTCTCAGAAGAAGAGAGAGAAAAGGGGGAATACAATTTATTTGAAGAAATAATAGGTGAAAACTTCCCAAGTCTGTGGAAGAAAACAGATATCTAGATTCAGGAGACACAGAGAAACCTCAGCGAAATCAAAAAAAGCAGATCAACACAAAATATATTGTAAATAAATGTGCTAATACAGTGATAAAGAAAAATTTTTTAAAAAGCAGGACAAAGGAAGGTATTAACTTACAAGGGAAAACCCATCGGGCTAGCATGAGATTTCTCAACAGAAACTTCACAGTCCAGAAGGGTGTACCATGATATATTCAAAATGCTGAATGGGAAATTCCTGAATCCAAAAATACTCTATCCAGATAAAGAGTTTTGCAGACAAAAACTAAAGGAGTTCATGACTACTAAACCAGCCCTGCAAAAAATAGTAAGAGTCTGAGTGAAAAGGAGAACCAAAAGTCACAATACAGAGGTAGGAAACATGGAAGCAGTAAAAATGAATATTTCCACACACAAAAAAATCAGGAAAATCACAAAAAAAAAGGTTATAAAGTGTGGTAATACAGACCTAAAATGTGGGGAGGAAAGGAGAAAAAAATGGGTTCAAACGTACATGATCATAAATTTTATATCTATATGCAGAAGATGTAATATGTAAATGTAACTGTATATCATAACCACTAATAAATATATAAAAAATAAAAAGAAAGAAATCCAAGTATATACTAAAGAAAATCAGCAAAACATAAAAGAGAGAAATACAGGAATCAGAGAAAATCTTAAGAAATAAACACAAAACAAGTAAAAAAAATGGCAGTAAATTCATATCTATCAATAATTAATTACCTTGAATGTAAATGGACTAAATGCTCCAACAAATGACTTAGGGTGGCAGAATGATTTTAAAAATGAGATCCACCTAAACACTGCCTATAAGGGACACATTTTAGAACTAAGGACACCTACAGATTGAAAGTGAGATGATAGAGAAATATATATCATACAAATAATGTCATAAGAAAGCCAGAGCAGCAATACTTATATTGGACAAAATGGATTTTAAAATAAAGACTGTAACAAGAGGCAAAGAAGCGCAGTATAAAATAAAGAGGACAACCCAGCAAGATGACATAACAATTGTAAATATTTATGCACTCAACATGAAAGCACCTAAATGCATAAAACATTTAAAAAGCAAACATAGAGGAACTAATTGATAATAATACAATAATAGTAGGGGACTTTTACATCTCACTTATATCAATAGACAGATCATCTAAATAGAATATCAATAAGGAAACAATGGTTTGAATGACACACCGGGGAAAAAAAGGGATTTAACAGATATATTAAGAATATCCTATCCTAAAACAATAGAATATGCATTCCTTTCAAGTGAACATGAAACATTCTCCAGAATAGATTACATCTTAGCCCATAAAACAAACCTCAACAACGTCAAGAAGATTGAATGATGCCATGTCTATTCTCTGAACACAATGCTATAAAATTAGAAATTAACCATATGGAAAAATCTGGAAAGACTACAAATATATAGAGAGAGGTTAAATAAAATGCTACTAAACAATGAATGGGTTAACCAGTAAATCAAAGATGATATTTAAAAGTACATGGAAACAAATGAAAATGAAAACATGATGGCCCCAAACCTCTGGGTTGTAGCAAAAGTGTTTCTAAAAGGAAACTTTATTTCTCATTGCCATGTAGTATTCCATGGTATAGATAAACCACATCTTCTTGATCCATTCATCTGTTGATGGACACTTAGGCTCTTTCCATGTTTTAGCTATTGTGGAGAGTGCTGCTATGAACATTGGGGTACATGTGCTCCTATGCCTCAGCATTTCTGTATCCCTTGGGTAAATTCCTAGCAGTGCTATTGCTGGGTCATAAGGGAGTTCTATTGTTAGTTTCCTGAGGAACCTCCACACTGTTTTCCAGAGGGGCTGTACGAGTTTACATTCCCACCAACTGGCCATGTGTAGCAACATGGATGGACCTTGAGGGTGTTATGCTGAGCGAAATAAGTCAGGCAGAGAAGGACAAATATCATATGTTTGCACGTATAGGAGGATTAGGAGGAACTTGATGGAGGAACAAGCGGGAGAAGAAGGGCGGAAATGGTGGGGGAAAGGGAGAGAGGCAAACCATGAGAGACTCTTGAATGCTGACAAAAACTGAGGACTGATGGATGTGGGGGGGAGGGGGAGATGGGCATGGAGGAGGGCACTTTGGGGATGAGCACTGAGTGTTATGTAGAAACTAATTTGACAATAAACTATTTGTAAAAAAAAATAGATAAATAAATAAAAATAAAAAAAAGAAACTAATTTGACAATAAACTATTTGTAAAAATAAATAAATAAATAAATAAATAAAAAATAAAAAAATAAAAAAATAAAATAAAAGGAAACTTTATAGCATTACAGCCTTATCTCAAGAAAAATCTCAAATAAATAAGTAACCTTGTACCTAAAGGAGCTAGAAAAAGAACACAAAACAAAACCTAAACCCAGAAGAAGAAATGATAAAGATTAGAACAGAGTTTTGAAAAGACACATGCACCCTAATGTTTATAGCAGTGCTATTGACAATAGCCAAAATGTGGGAAGAGCCCAAATGTCCATTGACAGGTGAATATATATTTAAACACACACAACGGAGTATTACTCAGCAATCAGAAAGAAAGAAATCTTGCCATCTGCAACTACGTGGATGGAACTAGATGGTACTATGCTAGTGAAATTAGTTAGAGAAAGACAAATATCAAATGACTTCACTTATATGTAGA